GCAGCTGCAGCTGCAACAGCTAACGAAGAATTCATAAACAGAAAAATGTTTTTATTTAATGTCATTAAAACAAAAACCAGATCCTTTAATTTACTAAAAAAAAAACATAATTTTCTGCGAAAAAGCAACAATAATTCCTGGGCTAAACAACTGAAGTGTGTTGAAGCAGCACAGAACAGAAGCTAAAATCAGCAAATACAAAAACTAAAATTAGAAAAACAGTAAGCAGGTCACCAACGGTAAAGATAAAATGAGCAAAAATGTATTTAAGTTTTAAAATAAACAAAACTGTATCTGAAAATTTAAATTAAAATAACTGAGTGAAAAACTAAGAGTCATTGGAGGTAAAAACTAAAATTAGCAAAACTGTAGCTAAAAGCTAAACTTTGCAAAAATGAAGTTGAAAACTAAATTTAACAAAACTGTAGCATAAGCTTAAAATTAGCTAACCTGTAGCTAAAAGCTTCAATTAGCTGACATTACAAAATTGTAGCTAAAAGCTAAACTTGGCAAAAAAATTAAGTTGAAAACTAAATTTAACAAAATTGTAGCGGGAGCTTAAAATTAGAAAACCTGTAGTTAAAAGCTATATTTAACATATACTGTATAAGAGCAAAGGTAAATGTAATAAAACTGTAGCTAAAAGCTACAATTAGCATATATTGTATAAGGCCAAAGGTAAATGTAATAAAACTGTAGCTAAAAGCTACAATTAGCTGATATTATCTGAATGATAAATGCAGTAAAACTGTAGCTAAAAGCTACAATTAGCATATGCTGTATAAGGCCAAAGGTAAAACTGTAGCTAAAAGCTACAATTAGCATATGCTGTATAAGGCCAAAGGTAAAACTGTAGCTAAAAGCTACAATTAGCATATACTGTATAAGGCCAAAGGAAAAACTGTAGCTAAAAGCTACAATTAACAAATATTAGCCCAATTTTAAATGTAATAAAACTGTAGCTAAAAGCTACAATTAGCTAACATTACTTCAAAATTAGATGTAGGAAGTTGTTAAAGCTAAATGTAGCAAAAAACAAAAATTGTTGCTATTGAAGGTTATGAAACATGTAGCCTGAAGCTAACATGATCACAGAAAGACAAACATGGAGCAGGATGATGACAGTGAACAAAGTATTTTGAAGGAGCTGAAGAGAAAGTTGAATAAAAATCGAACAGTTATGAAGACTAAACGTCAGCACACCTGTCTCCTGTTTGAGGCGAATGTTTGGATCTTTAAAAGGTTGAAGCAGTTTGACTGAAAACAGAAAAATAAACTTTATATTTTATGGTTTTTATCTTTTTACACAACTTGACAAGTTCAACTTTCTGAACTAATGACGTCCACACCTGTTCAATAAGGTGGACTGACTGAAGGTTCCTGTCCTCCGCAGGTCTACCTGAAGGCTCCGATGATCCTGAACGGGGTCTGTGTGATCTGGAGAGGCTGGATCGACCTGCAGAGGCTGGACGGGATGGGCTTCCTGGAGTACGACGAGGAGCGGGCTCAGGTACTCCCACAGAACCATGCTTCAGCTGCTGCTGTAAAACATCACACACTCAACCTGTGTGTGTGTGTGTGTGTGTGTGTGTGTGTGTGTGTGTGTGTGTGTGTGTGTGTGTGTGTGTAGCATGAGGATGCCTTGGCCCAGGCGGCGTTCGAAGAGGCTCGACGCAGAACCAGAGACTTTGAGGACAGAGACCGGTCTCACAGAGAGGATCTGGAGGTGAGGAGGACCGGCCTGTTGTCCTCGACAGGAACTCTGTGAAAACAATAAAGTATCAACTCTTACAAAGCCAGCTCTGACCTGTAACACACCAATAATAATTATCTTACCTGCTGTAGGTAAATGTTTGAATGTGCCCTTTATTATTATATTTATATGGTTCTGAGGACGGTTTGTCTAAAGTGGAAATTTTTAATAAAATATAGATTATCTGCTTATAAATATTGATATTTTTTATGTTTAAAACCTGAATTTCTTAGCAGACACGTTTTTGGTTGGCTTTGTAAGACCACTCAAATATGGTAAGCCCTTTATGTATATATTCAATATCCTTCATCTGGTTACTAAGACCACTATTTAACTAGTGACAGGCAGATTAAGACAACTAGTTGACTTATGACTGTCAGATTAAAGACCACTAATGACTGTCAGATTAAGACCACTAGTTAATTAATGACAGGCATATTAAGACCACTAGTTGACTAACGACAGGCAGATTAAGTCCACTAGTTAATTAATGAAAGAACAATTAAGACCACTAGTTGACTAATGACAGAACGATTAAGACCACTAGTTGACTAATGACAGTACGATTAAGACCACTAGTTGACTAATGACAGAACGATTAAGACCACTAGTTGACTAATGACAGTACGATTAAGACCACTAGTTGACTGACAGAACGATTAAGACCACTAGTTGACTAATGACAGTACGATTAAGACCACTAGTTGACTAATGACAGAACGATTAAGACCACTAGTTGACTAA